AACATCATATAAGTTTTTTGTGATATAACATAGGTTTTTTTGCTTTCGATTTAATTGTACGATAGCGGTCTATATATTATTACTGATTAAATTCAGTGCTGTTAATTTTAAATTAGCATTTTCAGTGTAGTAATACAGATACGAGAAGTACGAGGAAACTAACAAGTGACTTTTTAGCATTATTTGGAAAGTTAGGCCTCTATGTAATTTGTGGAAGTAGCAGTCAAAGAAAGCTTTCGTTATCATTAACTGGAATGGACTTTGCAAACTGGTAATAAAAGAAACTGAAAATATAGAAAAACAAACGTGGTAAAACACTCCTACATTAAAATAAGTTTATTGATAAAATCAAATATTACAGTCACATATCTTTTCTATGAATTTGTTTCAAATCTATGTTTAATCCTTGGTGATTTTAAACTGAAGTTTACCTTTCTTCACATGATAAAGCATTGTTAAATAATAGACTGACGAAATGTATTAATGTTCGTCAGTGAACACCCAACAATAGAAACTGTTACAACAATGATGACAGAAGTGACATTACTTTGATAAAAATGAAACAGAATCTAGATTGAACTTCAAGATGACAACATATACTTGAAGCGAGATTGAAATTCGTGAAGAAAATAATGAGGCAGTGGAAATAAGATCGAGAAGAAAGAGGCAGAAATTTAAAAGATGAATTATAGAACGAGATATGGGATTTACAAAAGAATCATGAATAGAAATTAATCAAAGACAAAATCGAGAGAACCATAGGAAATGTCAAAAGAATACCAATAGGGTAAAATATAGGTACAAAACAGCATTGACTAAGTGAAAAGGGAAGTACAAAATGATATCCACAAATTACAGAAGCATTATGACAAAGTCAAAGAATTACAAAAGAACATCACAGAAGTGCAAAGTGATTATAACAAGACTGAAAAACGACAGAAGAAGCTATAGGAAATGTACAGAAGACTATCAATACCAATATAAAACATTTAGAAACTGAAATGGCAAATGTAAGTTTCAAACCAGCCACACCTTTCTCTGCATATTCCTCCAGAATTAACATCTCAAACTATGCTATATGTTACTACTACCGTTGTTCCACCTATGAATAAAGGTCTTTTCTGGATAGTACAGCTTCATCACATTACAGGATTTAGTAGATTAGTAGAACAACATTACCCAACTGAGAAACCAAAAACTATGATGGAAAGATTCCATGGAATATGTATCAGGTACAACTCCCAAAGTGAGTGGATAGACTAATAAACAGCAAGCTATTCATGTTGCTGCATACTTAAAAGGACCAACTTTAACAACATTAAGCAATCTTCCAATTGAGAGCCTAAACAATTACCAGACATCAGTGGTCATCTTACCAGAAAACTTTGAAGTGTCACTTGAGAAGGGAGTCTCTAAAGCAAAGTTTAGAAGCAAAGTATAGGGAGGAAAGACTACACCTTAACCAAACATGAGGAAGATGAAGAACGATTTGCCTAGTTATTCAGATGCTACACATAAAATTATTAATTCCTTGGCATGCGACCAATCCATAGTTGCTATGGTGGATGTAGATATATGAATTAGGCTGAAGGAAAGTAGGTGTACATTTTAAAGAGAGGCTGTCCAGTTAGTGATGGAATTTCAATTGTCAAAGCTTCAGGTAAACAACTACAAATACCATCCAGGGATTAATAAAAAAACTGGTTATTCAGAAAGAAGGTTGCAAACTACAGGATAAAGGATGTTTCAATTATAACTTAAAAGGCTACATTGCCACAAACTGTTGGAAAATTTTTTAATTACACAACTGTTTACTGAAAATGGAGGAAGTAACACACAAGGAAAGTGTTTCAATTGCAACTTAAAAAAAATATTGCCAGGAACTGCAAACAAAAGCTTTCAGACAATAAAACTGTTTCCAAAGACTGACAGGAAAAGGAAAGTGTTCAAGGTGTAGTAAATATGGACATTACATCTGAAACTATGATGAATCAACCATTGATAATAAACATAGGAGACAATATGCTGATGAAGTAAATGCTTAATCTGCCCCAAATGAGATAAAGAGTGTATTATTTAAACAAATCAGTCAATGAGTTAATGGATTAATTGATGGTAAACCTTACGACATATTGATCAGCAATGGTTCTACAAATCTACAGCTACCATTGTTTGATCAGTGAAAGGTGGGAGATTGCTTCCAGGACTAAAGAAAGGAGGTGGCCTGATGTTATCAACAAGTGGTTATAAAGTTCCACCAAGAGGAAAAGTAGAAGTCTCAATCATGGTTGGAAGTCTCTTTACACAACATGATGTCTGGGTAATTGACACAGAGGACGAGTATATTTCAAATAGACTTCATGTGGGAAAAGACAGATGTAAGGTTATACTTGCTCGAAACTTTTTAAAAATCTGACCATAAAATCTCTGTGCACTCCTCGACAATTATGACATCAATGGTTGAACTTCCAGACAACTAACCTAAAGTGGAAAATAGCACAATCCGGAAAGACAGGTGGTCTAAACCAAAGGTGACTTACTGTGATTGTCTTTGGAAATACGTTGGTGCGAGATTTGCCAAATCGTTAGCTTCAAAGAAGACTTCTTCAAAGGAAAATCAACATGCGGGCGAACCCAAGATTGCTATCGATATCGATATCCAGGGATAGAGCCACAAGTTGATTTCATCGACCATCTACATGGAGAGAACTCCCTCAGTGACAAGACAGAAGTGTTCATATAAAGCAACAGGTAATCTCATTTTCTGCTGTAAGCCACAAATAAAAAAAACTAAAAAATATTTGGTGACTATGCAGGTTAGGTGCATTAAGCAAGGAAAAAAATGTTTGATTTATTAATCAAAATTTTAATTGTACTTTATGTCACACAATTAATGTAATTTCTATGGTTATGAATATTAATTTTATTGAGTATGGATCTTTACATTTAACGTACCATTTTCTTTTTGTAAAGAATTGTTCAAAGGACTTCACAATCTAGGGAGTGTGTTATATTGTAGACTATGTTGTTTGTTTAACTTAAAACTTTTGTATTATTGTTTTGCCAAAGGAAGTATTGATGGCACGCGATGAGCGAATGCTTTAACCACAGACATGGAAATTTCTTAGAAGTTTAAGAAATGATTTGAGAGCATAAAAACAGAAGTAAGGCGAGAGAAGATTGTTGAGATTGTTGGTTGATTATCGATCCAACTAGTTAATTAGTCCCCACCAAGCGAATCAAAGGAAAGTTTGGTGGTTCATAACGCTCAAAATCAGGATTCGATACCAGTGGTGGACACTGTCCTTTGTCGAGTTTGCTCTTAAACACAAACAAACAAAACAATTAGTTCAACGCCGTAAGTCTTACATTTTTGTTCTCAACGAAGTAGGATGGATACAAAAAGCGCCATGCATATGAGAGAAAATATTGGAAAATATTGATGCGTTCAAAACGATTTTGTTGTCGTTAAGTGGACTGGACTGGCGAACAATAGAAACCGTTACAACAGCATTTTAGCGACAGGCTTGCTGTTACGATTATTATTTTTTTTCTGCTTTTTTGATAGCATGGAGTTGGAAAACCCTTAAATGTCGCGATAATGCCATCCTGAATGTTACTCGAAGTTGAAATGTAAGATAGTTTTCAGATCCACTGAAGAATGAGTACCAAAACATTATTTACCTGTGTTTAGGTTTATCAATGCTGAAATAAATTATATCTAAAACGAAGTAATTAAATTAACTGATTACCAGATCGGTTTTTAGTTTCACTCTAAATACAGTGCTTTCTCTGATCAGACTGTTTGTTTGTAATTAAGCACAAAGCTACACAATGGGCTGTGTGTGCTCTGCCCACCACGGGTATCGGAACCCAGATTCTAGCGTTGGAAGTCTGCAGACATACCGCTGTGCCACTGGAAGGCTCTCTGATCAGAAGTTAACATCAAATACAAGATGTTTTTATGTATTTGTTTCCTTAGATAAATTTTCTGAATTTTCTATCTATCGCTAGGTTTTCCAGTAAATGTGGAAGAGAGGGAAGCAAAAACTAATAGTGAAATAAAATTTCATACTTGATGTAAAAAAACGCATGAATATACATGTGTATAAAAATTAATTACATTAATCCAAATATCATAAAATGTTTACCATCATATTATTTTCTTAAAGGTTTTAAATCATATGTAGTCTTTTTTATCACTGTCAGAGAAGAAACGTTGTTCCCAGATAAATCCCATACACCGCCGTTTCAAAAACTTTACATGTGTGTGTGTGCATAAAATGTATCTTATTACAGCCATTGTGTGATCGAACTTTTGATGATGAAAATATTTTTCTATATACACACAAAATTTCAATTTATTACATGTTTTATCGAATGAACATCACACACACTATTTATTTGTTTTTTTCCCCTATCGGCTGGATAAGAAAGCAGATAAAAATTAACTGCCATTTTACGATGACACAAGTACTCCAAAATCTCCACATACGAATGATAAGGAGAACTATATATTTACGGTTCCATATGAGATAGAACAATTGAAGTACATTTATATGGATTAATTATAATTACTAATACTTTGTTTGATGGTAAGATATTATATCATATAAAAAAGTACATTACTTTTGAATGTCTGAACACTTTTTTTGTACTCATCGTTTTGGTAATTCTCGACATAAACTAAAGTAACCTTAATTTGTATGTTTTATATTGTCGAAATAACGTGCTCTCGTATTTAAAAAAAAGGTTTAAATCTATATAGTATAATACTACAGATACCTTGAAACGTAGTCCTCTCTCTTTAACTGGAGGTTCTGCATATGGTATTCCCAAAAAAGCTGTTATGTTTTTATAAAACTTGGTAACTGGCCTAAAATTGCCATTTTGTGGCCTATCTCTTTCCGGTACGCCAGGACCGTCACACAAATAAACATAACGCCCTTCTATGACAGTTTCTCTCGTTAAATCCACGGTTACTTTAACTGGTAATTCATCAGAATATGCTTCTGGACATCGCTGGTCCCCATAATCAAAAATATCTGATTTTCTGACGGCAGAGCCTTGACGGTTGTTACCTGGACTTTGATACACATTTCTGAAATCGTAAATTACGTTAGGGCCTGGAGTTCTAGCGCTGTAACTAGTATAATGCTGACTGACTGTAGCTTGTGGTAATATTAGCAATACTAACACACAAAGGACGCAAGCTCCTGAAATACTTTCACAAAATACACGCATTTCTTGTCACTAATGGGTTTAAATCATTGCAAAATAAGAATCAACTTTCGATTTACGAGTTAAGACAACACAGGCGCGTTATCGCTTCCACCATTAAAAACGTCACCTGAACTTTACCTGTTTGAAATATTCAGTTTATAACCTGCCCACAAGATGGCGTCTGAGAAAATAATTAAGAATAATTTTCTTACCTGTATTAGAATACACAGAAAAAAAAGAAACATCTTAACAATAAAAATTTTATTTAACCGTTCAATTAAAAACTTTAAAAGAAGTAGTACTTTCCACCTCTTCCAACGGCCGAAGCAAAATCTGTATGATTGAACTACATGATTTTTTTCTGATAACGATTCAGTTTAAAAGTTAAATTATAAAACGTAATTTAAAGAAATGATAGTCTTAACATTAATAGCAATTAATTTAAATAAATATATTAAAATTTCAAATCTTACTCCAAACTATATTTGAAAACAGTGGACTCACTTGAAAAAAGTATCTATTAAGTTTCATATTAAAAAGGTTTTAGGTTTGGAAAGCAAAGTATGAATGTTTAAATTGTTTTTCTTTTTTTAAAACATAAATGACTGATTACATTTTTGATTCTCCGGTGGGTCAGTAGTTAGTTTATGGACTTATAACACTAAAATCCAGGGTTCCATTTCTCGTTATAGACAGAGCGCAAATATCCCATTGTGTAGTTTTGTGCTGAGACGCAATAACATCTATAATAGACCGGAAGCCATTCTGTGCATCTTCGATGACGAGGAACCCACTTTGATACTAATAATTGTTGGAGACGGCTTGAATGGGTAATGAAGAAAAACTTTATGATAAGTTTAACATAACAACAAATGTACAACGTTTCGACAAGGTTTTGTCATCATCATGTACGACCATTATTCTGTGTATCTGCTCTAATAAAGGAGTTTGTGCATCCGAAGGTACAGAAAGATTTGAGGGTAGATTTGGGTAGAGTGGACCTTATTGATCACTGTACGACTTGCAGTGGCGTCAAATTGTAGTGTCAGTTTTTTTATAGAGGCCATTTTCCAATATGGCCGCCATCGGAATCATGATTTCACGTATTTGACCATAACTTCTGCTCTAGATGTAAATTTGATGTGATTTCAAACTCTAATCAATTGTATTCAACTTAAGAACCCATGAGGATGCAGAACTGAACATAAAAAATTTAAAATATACAGATTCTATTTGAAAATGGCCGCCATTTATGTATGTTTTTAAATCAAATTTGTACAGAAATCTAATTTATAACCTCAAATTATGTCAAGTAATAGCTAGTTTTGACTAAATACCATATGATAATTAACTAGATCTTAAATAAAACGAGAAGTTAAAAATTTAAATATTTAAACATTCATTTAGTATGATTCAAAATTGCTACAATAAGATCTCTGACTTTAAACCGCTAGCCATAAGACATTATAAATCATAATACTAACTTAACTTTCAGATGTAAGCGTATTTAATTGTATGAAAATACAGCCATAATATGGTATCTAGGTACAAACCATTCATAAAGTATGCTACAACATAAAACGGTCTCAGTTTTGAACTTTCTCCTGTTCCTTATGCTTTGGCACATCCAGATGACAGCTTCAGGAACAGTACTAAAAGTGTTCTATTAGGAGAACTGGAGAAACTGGTTAATACTCCTAATACATTTCCGCCACCACAACCAGACATGAAGATAGCCCATATCTTTGGTGGAATGGTATAGATCAGGATGGTTGGGGATGCAGAAGCACGTCCTTTTGGCGCATTGGCACAGAATCACTTTGACATGCTCACAGCCCCTTAGGGAACGAGTGCAACTGAATGGATATTGTGTTTGACCAGTACTAGCATGCTACCACCAAGAGTGGTGAAAAACTCACTCAGGAATGGAAATCGTCATTACAAGACATCAGTTCCAAAGCAGTGAGCAAAATACTTTGTGAACTTCAGAAATAGGAGTACTTTATGTACTTTTCTCTGTGAGCAGTAATGTTCATCGGGGCAGAATGTGTTGGAACCTGGACTGAAGATGATCATAGCTGGTGGTTGGCCTGATGGGACTGAGGCTGTTTGTGTCACCAGTAACAATTGGGCTGTCATTGACCACTTAAAGTAATATCACGAAGAGGCTGACACGAGGATGTTGTTACACGCTGGGGATACATATCTAAGCCACAGTCGTATAGTTGTTCATTCCTCAGACACTGATGCGTGTGTCTCCCTTCAAAGACTTGAGATGCGTAGAGTTTTGGCTTTGAACTAGAGTCAAGGACAAACTCCGATATATATCATGTCACTTGATAGCAGATGAGATGGGAAGGGATATGTGTGATGTTTTACCCAGTTGCCATGCCCTCACTGGTTGTGATTTTACAAGTGCACTATGTGATATTGAGAAAACGAAGACTCTCAAGTTGCTCTGTGTTGACATTGATGCCAAAAGGACCCTGGACCAAGAAGAGGTCTAAGTTGAAATATCGGCAGACCTAACGAAAAAATACTGAATCCTTCATATGCCAACTATATGGAAATACCAACGTTCCTGGTGAAACATAAAATGTAAAATAGTACTGGCTTTTCTGTCAAAAGGGTCGGTGAAATTAACATTTGCCACCAACTACAGACAGTTTGCATTTGCACATTAAATGGGAAAATTATCAGCTCACATATGGTGAAAAACATTGAAAGCAATGACAATCTACCTGATCCTTCTTTGCATGGCTGAGAATTGGTAAATGATAATTTGAGGCCAATACTCATGAATCAATCAGCTGCTCCAACTGGTCTCCTGGAACTAGTGATGTGTACATGCAAATATTTCTTGTGCAAAACAAATAGGTGCTCTTGTAAAAAGAGCAGTCTGATCTGTACAGAAAGTTGTATCTGCATGGGCAGCGAACAATGTCAAAAACCCTGCTAGACGGATGGAAGAACTTTCTAACGAGGAGGACTGGGCAATTGTAATACATGTCCACGTAATTTGGATGTATGCTTCAAACTGATAATATGAGAATTCTGAAAGTGCAAAATTCAACAAATAGTAATCATGTTCTCTCAGGCTTTTTAAAATATGTATGTTCGATGGAATGGTCTTTAATGGTTTTGTGTAGTAGCATACTTTATGAATGGTTTTGTACCTAGATGTCATATTATGGACGTACTTTTATACAATTAAATACACTTACATCTGAAAGTTAAGTTATTATTACGATTTATAATGTCACCCAATAATGCCTTACAGCTAGCTGTTTAAAATCAGAGATCTTATTGTAGCAGTTTTGAATCATATTAAATGATTGTTTAAGTTTTTAACTTCTATTTTTATTTAATATCTACTTATTTATCATATGGTATTTGGCCCAAACTAGCCAACACTTGACATAATTTGAGGTTATAAATCAGATTTTCATACAAACTTGATAAAAAACAACAACCCATAAATGGTGGCCATTTTGAAATAGAATCTGTATATTTTCCTCATGAGCTTTGAAGTCAGTTCAGTTGATTAGAGTTTGAAATCACATCAAATTTCATCTAGAGCAAAAGTTATGGTCAAATACTTGAAATCATGATTCCGATGGTATCCATATTGGAAAATGGCCTCATAAAAAAACATACTACAATTTGACTCCACTGCAAGTCGTACAGTGATAAAGAAGTTCCACTCTACCAAAATCTACCATGAACCCTTTTCTACACACTCGGTTATGTAAACTCATTTTTTCTAGGCTCCCGGTCTATAATTAATAAGATATTAAACAAAGAAAATACTTATATTCCCATAAAAGTGATATAACAACGTTTCGGGCTGGTGCCCTTCTTCGATAAAATCGCTAATTGGTATAGGACAGACTTAGATTAATCATATATTAACTAAGGATTCGGAGTGTAAGAATAGTAATATTTTTTTTCTTTTTAGTTTTAGAGAATGTTTGTCTTTCGTTTGTTTGTTTCTTGTTACACAGACAGCTACACACTGGACTATCTGGACTGTGCTCACCACAGGTATCAAAACCAGATTTTTTGTGTTGTAAGATTTATCTTTTGTATTTCCTGGAACAATTTAGCAGCACGTTGAGGTAAAATATTAGTTTCATTCGACTTCAAGGAGATTTCACTTTAGATCATCTTAATCTGACCTTTGGAGCCTTTGCGTTGTATTATGAATGTTGATTTACGTGGTGATGGGACGAATATCGAAATTATTCTAATTTTGCCAGATTTTTGCAAGTGGGAGATGCTCCCCCCCTCCCCTGCCTCGTACGCCTAAGATATCGTGTTGAATGATACTCTCTTAAAGGTCGTGGCATACGCACTTTGATCCCGAACCGTCCACATAGGGTTAAACGGTTTCCTGGTGATTAGCCCCGTATTGGATATTTGTTCCATAAACTTTATCTTTCTTACTCATAACCTCATTCGGGCAAAAACTGCACACCCCCCGTAACATCCCCTTAGGTATATGCATTATATTATGTACCTGATTTTAGAGTTATCAACTATTCATTTTCCCCTACGTTGCTTATTTATTTAGTGTATTGTTTGTTTGTTTTGAATTTCACGCAAAGCTACACG